CTATTGAAGCCACAAAGGTACATTGGCTTGATGCACATTTAAGTGCTTCATTTCCCCCCAATCATTCCTTGTAATTCACGATGCTGTGAATGTTGTTGGAAACGTCCTCAACAGAATCACAGTGCTCCCTGGGGAGCAGGTGCAGCCAGTAAACTAGGCTATGGTTTCTAGATGATGTTTCTCTCACACACATTGTTCTCACACACAATTCCATCCATCCACATAACCACTTAAAGTAGAATCCTTTGGCTTAACTTTATTGACATTTTACAACCTGGTTCCCTACTGAGGAGGACTACTAACATGAGCGGGCTGTTTAGGCATTGCATGAACCCCATTCTCACTCTAGTAGAGCCTTTCCAGGAGACACATCTGCACGCAGGGTGATCTTGCATGTTCATAGGGATGAACAGACCTTGATTCTACAAAGGAACCTAGGGAGCTGTGTCTATCCAGCTTGCTACTTTCTCCTTCAATTGAGATAATCTTTCTAGGGTCTCAAGCATATGGTCTTCCCACCGCCCTCTGTCAGTCTACCTTTTCCTTTTAACTGCAGAAGGTTGAGGGTTGAGCCGTGAACCTTCTGCAGGCAAAGTTTGCCCTTCTGCTGTGGTGGTTGTTATGTTCCATCACGTCACAACTCTAGTAGGGTTCTCAAGGTATGCAAATATTTAAGTTATGGTTTTGCTACTGCCACCCTCCACCCAGTGAGCTTCCATAGCTAAATAGGGATGCTAATCCAGCTCTCCTGAACCTTAGAAACTCTTTCCACTCTACCCACACTGAATCTATTGTAGGGAAGAAGAGTAAAGATGGGACAGGAATAAAATCAGAGGCTAGATGAGTGGAAAAGAGTTAAGGATTCATTCTTCAACACCCTTGTATCTCCATATGTTAAATGGTGAGTGGAATTAACCAGAGCTTGAAAGAGTTACATTTTCGAACTAAATTTTCTAGACTCTTTCAGCTAACATAGCCACTGGTCATGCTAGCTGGGGGATTTTGGGAGCTATTATTTGTAACTGTGACAAATTCTAATTTTTAAATTTTATTTTTAATTTTATCCCTGTTATTTATCAACCCTGTTTCTTTATACAATGATTCTAGCTGCCTAGCTGATTGAAGTGGGGCCGAGTGGAAGGGAAGGGAGATAAAACACCTAATTCAAATGGTCTGGCTTAAGTTGTTTATGTATAGGTGGCAAAGGTCACAATCCAGAAAACAGCACAACCAGGTCTATGCTATTACCCCAATGTATGGCTAGTTATTTTTTATTTTTTTGGAACTACAAGACTTTTCAAAAGTAGCTGTTCAAAAGTAGCTATTTGTATGGCTGGTATGAGAAATGAGTAAAATGAGATTTTTTTAAAATGCTGCTGAGTGTACAGTATTTAAATTCGTGGATGTGCCTGAAATAGCTCTCTGGATTGTGTCCAGTCCAAACTTCAGCAGAATCACATCCCTAGTGAGTAAAATCATAACAGATAGGCAGAATGTTCCCTCCAGAATCTTTTTTTTACCACATTCCATTATCGGACATGACACATTTCAAATGCTCGTTAATTTACAGAAATTGCATTTTATAGAAAATATGATACAATGAAATATAAAATGCGCGAGGAGCATTTTCAAAGTCTATAGACAAAGGAGCTTGCATTCTAATACGGTCTTTTTAACAACAACATCCATTTGAAATACATTTCTCCGCGCTCATTCCCCTCCCCCTCTCAACTTCCAAAAGAGAATCAATTTTGTATATTGACAAAAAAAAATTTAAAAAAGGAAAGGAAAAAAAAGGGGGCGAGTCTGATCAGCCCCATTCTTTGTGGATAATAAAAAAAGAATTTCCTTAAAACTGTTCACATTCTTGGATTTAAAGGAAATAATGTCTAAGCACGCCTACATTTTCCCCTCTTAAACCTGCTGCAGAATAGCATTTTTTTCTTTAAAAATGATAGATAATCCAAGGTTTCATAGCACAATTAAGTGGCTCATAATCCATTAAATGTGATTTTTTTTACATTACAGATCCATGCAATCTAAATAATTGTACAAACATTAGACAGAAATCTCACTAATCCAAATCATTAAAGGGGGGGAAGAAAAGAATACTTTTTGTTTGAGAAAACACACACACACCAGAATCTAGATGAGTCTTTAAAATACTGACCCTACGTACAAACTAGGTAGTATGCTACCCTTGATAATATTAGTGAGGTTCCATCAGAATGCAGCAGTTAAGTCTCACTTGTCAAAATATAAGCACATTAATCACATAGTACCCATTTATATGCTTGGCTACCTTCCCTTAGCCAGTAGGCTCTGGTTACAGAAAGCAATGCCTATCAAGCATAATACACTTAGGCTGGTTTACATATCCTTGGTTCAGTTTGGCTAGTGATGTTCAAGTGATGTTAATCCTGTAGGGTATGAATGGTCAAAGGCCCCCAGGGAATTTTTTTTCCTGGCACTTGGTGGCCCTACCAAACTTTTTATTCAGATGTATGTTGGGAAAGAGCCAAAGAGCTGCACATGTTTATACAGAAGAAAAAGAAAACTTGTTTTATGTATGTTGTGAGAAATATATTGGCCATACTTCTGTGTACCATCGCTCTCTTGAGATTCAGAGGAAACCTCTCGACCATGTTCATGTATCAGATCACCACGGATGGGGAGCCCTTATGTGCCTTTTATACAGTTTTAATTCCATGCAGAGCATGAGTACCTAATGAAGGGCCAATTCATGGGGCAAAATCTTTTCCAGCTCCCACACTGCTATTAAAAAACCCCAAAGCAACCCCAGGCATAGAAAAGTGCAGTGGTTTGTTTCTATCGAGGCACAGGAACATACCAATTCTATTCCCTTTGGGGGGGCCTGTCAAGAACATGTTTGAAGCCCCCACTCTGCCCTGATGACCAATGGTCTCTCACAATGTGACTTGGGTCATTTGATGGAAGTGTAGGTTCTTGCCTGATGAAAACCAGTCTTTTCTTCAACCTCACCCAACGTATGTCACAGGAAAAGCAGATTGTAGATCTGTGCCCACACTTGCAGTTGTCTTGCAAAGTCCTTTCTCTGTCTTTTCTCCTGACAGACTCAAAAATGGACATGTCCAGTGGAAATCACATCTTTCTGCCCACAAAAAAACTGTTGAACTGGCACTGAGTAATTGTCCTCTATGTCTGGAGCAGCCCAACAGAAGTGGCATCAAGATACTGTCAACATCTTTGAACTACTGAAGAACGCCAAACTATGCACTTCATCTCTCACGTGGCATGAAAGTTCTAAGGATCAGGGAGACCATCCCACTTTCTTTTTGATGGATCAGTCCTTTCCTCCCTTCATTTGGCCAGCTTCTTCCCCAGCTAAGGGCACAGAAAGCTGCCAAGAGATTCAACTTTATTTTGTCAGAGGCCCAACTTGTTTTTTTTACTTACTCAAAGGGCTCTGCCTTCATTGTTTTTGAGCCTTGAGCCATCCTTCTGGATGCTCCTCTTCCACAAGGCGGATCTGGTGCAGTCCCCATTGGGAAGAATATTAGTTTTCAGCGAACTCCATGTGAGTTGGATACAAAATAAAAGCTCCTTAGAAAGGGGAATGTCTGTTGGATGATTTATCACATCACCGGTGGTTTCAGCATGTTATACCAGAGAATTGAACCAGGACATTTGTTTGAGATGGCTATATTTTGGCAAGTGCTAATAGCAATGTGCAAGACAAGAGATGACCCTACAGTTCTAGGCAACCAGGCCAACACATGTGCCGCATGGACACAGAGCACAACTGATGGAGCAGTAATGTTTCTTGAGCTAATCCTACCATTAACCTCACTTTGAAAACATGAACTATGCCAGCCTCAGGGACTTTCTGCAGTATTGTCCTTTTTGACAGCAAAGTAACAAATGGCCAAGTCAATCTAACCATTCAGAAACCAATCATGTCCCATCACTCTGCATGTGCTTTAAAAATGTTCCTGTATTTCCTTTGCTAAGATTGCAGAATTATAGGAAAAAAAATGACTGGAACCAGTGTTATCAATTGCATTGAAACAAGAAACCACACACTAAATCATCCCAGACTGGAGACCTAACTAACTAGTTCCATTTTATAACTCTCCAGGGGAAAACCAGTACAATCTTGGTAACACAATATCTTTTGCTGGATCTGTTTCTGGTGATGAAATAGGACACAGACTATTTCACCCTCCAAAAGCATCTACTACGTATGATGGCACAAAAGAGCTGCTCCACAGCAGTTGCCCCTTTACTCATTTTGTAGCTTTTAGAAAAAGAGATGAGCAATGTGTTGACTGATGAACTTGCTGAGCTCCACCCACCTGTCCAAGAAAGGCCTCGTACATACATTTTGCTTGTGCTTAGCCTCACCCATTTTCCATGGAATGACAATACAACGGGGTAGAGCTTCTTATCAAATTGACATAGGTTACAAAAGAGGGACCCTCGGCTATACATCGGGCCATGAAACAGCTATTGGGACCTACACAGTGGGGTTGGGTGAGCCACACATGGTCTGCTGAAGTTATGCTCCCCCTCTGTTTCAAAAGATAGGGTGAGGGAGCCTGCACACGTTCGCTGAATGTGGTTTGCTCATTTGCCCACACAATGTATTCTTAATGTTCAATTAGAATTTCACATTCAATTAATCACAACAAACATTTGATAGAAACACATAACCATGTGGACAGGACGCCACAGCAGGAGGAAGGAAGGAAGGAGGGAAGGAAGGAAGAACGAAAGAAAGAATGAATGAAAGGAAGGAAGGAAGGAAGGAAGAAAAAGAAAGAAAGAAAGAAAGAAAGAAAGAAAGAAAGAAAGAAAGGAAGGAAGGAAGGAAGGAAGGAAGAAAAAGAAAGAAAGAAAGAAAGAAAGAAAGAAAGAAAGAAAGAAAGAAAGAAAGAAAGAAAGAAGGAAGGAAAGAAGGAAGGAAGGAAGGAAGGAAGGAAGGAAGGAAGGAAGGAAGGAAGGAAGGAAGGAAGGAAGGAAGGAAGGAAGGAAAAGAAAGAAAGAGAAAAGAAAAGAAAGAAAGACAGACAGACAGACAACTCTCACACAAGTAGCCTTTGGTCTTCTCATCATTTACTGTAGGGCATACGCAAGGTCTTTGTGTTGTCCTGACCAAAGGCATATCAATGCTATAGTTCTATGCAGCTACATCACATGTGACCAGGTCACAAGAGAAAACCCTGGTCAATATTTTGCATCAGATAAACATGGAATTATATATACAACAGGTGCACTCACGTCACTGTTTGCTTAGGCCAAAAGACAGCAGTGTAGATTTTTGTTGTTGTTGTTGTGGCACACTAAGCAACTTATTTCTTTCATTCCCCCCCCACCCTAAAATAACTCCCACATTTTGTTCTGTTTTGTCTTAATTAGAAAAAAGGCCCAAAAGGGAAACCATTCCATAGTTCCTGTTTTCTGTTAATGCCTTCCCAGCTAGAACTGGCTTAGGGTCATAGAGTGTGGTGTCCAAAACGGTGGAAACATAAATTTTTGTTTGTTTCTTTTGAACACTCCTGAGATTGAGGGAATCTGATACATGTACCAAAAGGCACTTTCAAATATATATATCTATATATATTTTAAAAACAGTGCTTCTGTTCTAAGAAATTCAAGTTAAGACAGAGTGCCTTTCACTCCCTTTAGTCATAAAGTGGATAGAACAAGCGATATCCCTGCTGACACACTGGGAAAAATAATAATAATAATAAAAAAACCCACACAAACGCAGCAGAGACGAGTGTTCATGCTAGACAGCTCGATGTTCTGTAAAAAAAAAAGGAAGAGGAAAGAAAGGAAGAAAGAAAATAACAGGAAAAGAAACTTTCTAAATCACCACTAAAAGAAATACAGTCAGCAGAGGATATTAATTTTAAAAAACTGCCACTTCTGTACAGTTCTTGTTTCTTCTTCGCCTTTTCCTCTCCCCCTTCCTTTCTTCTTCATTGTTGGATTTTCTTTCCTTTCTCTTCATTGTCTTCCTTTTTTCTTCTAACGCTATAGCTTTCCTCTTTATGCAAAACAATAAAGTGAGGTCAGTTTAGTCATCCTCGCCGCCCCCGTACATGTCCGCCAGTTTCTTGAACCTCGGTCCCCAGTCATTAAGGTAGTCGTAATCTTGGTCTCCAGAGCTGGAGGAGTTAAGGGAACTGACCGAGCCTGCCGTGGATCCGCTTCCCTCATAGTCAAAGACAAGAAGGGAGTCATACGGAGGGGCTGTCGGGTCGTTATCTGCTGCTCTCAAGCCCTGGAATTTAAAAGAAGGAACACATTAGAAATTTCCCAAGTTTGGCTCTATGTTAAACAAAGGTTGGTTGTTGTGGGTTTTTCGGGCTCTTTGGCCGTGTTCTGAAGGTTGTTCTTCCTCACGTTTCGCCAGTCTCTGTGGCCGGCCATCTTCAGAGGACAGGAGCCAGAACTCTGTCTGTTCTCTGGTCACCAGAGCACAGACAGAGTTCTGACTCTGCCCTCTGAACGTTAGGAAGAACAACCTTCAGAACATGGCCAAAGAGCCCAAAAAACCCACAACAGCCATCAGATCCTGGCCATGAAAGCCTTTGAGAATACTTCAGAAAGTTATCACCCTGTTGTCAGGAAGATTCTTCAATTTGGGTTAAAAAAAAAGAAAGAAAGAAAGAAAGAAAGAAAGAAAGAAAGAAAGAAAGAAAGAAAGAAAGAAAGAAAGAAAGAAAGAAAGAAAGAAAGAAAGAAAGAAAAAGAAAATAAAAGAAATAATTTCCCATTTACCCCTTTAACATAAACATTGTTCTCAGGGTGAACAAGAGGGGAAGGACATGAGGTGACATTCCATGGGTATAGGAAAAATTCTTAGTTTTTTGCTCTTCTGCATTTCCAGACATTAAATATCAAGTTCTTCTCATCTGATTTTGAAGACGCTTGTGCATTTTGGCAAATTCTTCTTCTTCTTCTTTTAAACCCAGTGGCCTGGATGGACAAATGTTTCAGTTTTCTTTCATCCCTCATTTAAATATTTTTAAATGCAAGGCCTTTCCATCTCAAACAAAGGTTAAACATGCAAAAGTACGCTGGTCTTTTTAACAATGGAAGACTATCAATCATATGGTTCAAAGGGTTCAATCCTATGTTTGGATTCCCCCCCCCCAAAAAAAACCCTGTTCGTTACTTTGAGAAATGGCAACTAAAGTATTACTTTCAAAACATTGATCCTGTAGTAGTAATTAACTATTTGGGGAGGGGCATGGAACTATAATCACAGCTATTTATGTTTTAAAATAACTTTTGATCTCTAATTTGAAGAAAAGTAGGGATTTGGCTACATTTTTAGCAGAAATGGAAGGAAAATCCATAGAATGAGCCATGTTAGTTTGTCACTGCAGGTTGATGAAATTAAAAGTAGGGGGATTGAGCAAGCTCATAGGAAAGCAAGTTGTGAGCCTTTGTTCATTTCCATCTGAGGAAGTGAATTTTGATCCACGAAAGCTCACTGTGAAACAAGTCTCTTGGTCTTTAAGGTGCCACAATGTTTTGCCTTTTGCTTTCCCCCCTCTCCCTACTCCATTCTTCTTCCCTTTAATTTTGTCAGCAGCAAGGAAATCCCCACTCATTTGTAGAGTCTGCTAATCGTGCACAGGATCCTGCTAATCCTGCACACATCTGCAGAAGACAGTTTGCTGTCCTCTGAAGATGTCGGCCACAGAGACTGGTGAAACGTTAGGAAAAAACACCTTCAGAACACGGCCAAGAAGCCCGAAAAACCCACAACAACCATTAGATCCCGGCCGTGAAAGCCTTTGCGAATACACTCTGCTAATCCAACCCATTTGTTGATTCTAAAGTCAGAGCTTACATTTTTGTTTCAAACTGGGGACTAGAGCTGTGGGACATTAGATCACCATCACCGTCTTAGAACTACAGAGCTGAAAGGGACCTTATGGATCATCAAGTCTAGCCCCTGCCAAGGAGGCCCAATGAAGAATGGAATTCCCAACATCTGGCTCCACAACCAGATGCCTATGCCACTGAATGATCCAGCAGTTCTTTCTGAACAATAACCTTCAACCAGCCAGCATGGACACAAGGGATTCTGGAAGTTGTTCAGAAGGTAACTGGCCCGGTCTCTGCTGAGGACTGCTGTGTGGAAAGCTAGTAGCCATAGTTTTAATTCTCCTTCGAAGCCTGGATTCTTTGTATGATTGTTACACATCAGGGGCACCTCAGATCTTGTTGTGGATGAATGAGATTCTCTTGCCCAGCATGGAAAAAAATGGGTGTGTAGTGTTTATACGTACTGCAAAGCAGTGGTCCCCAACCTTGGGCCTCCAGATGTTCTTGGACTACAACTCCCAGAAGCCTTCACCACCACCTCTGCTGTCCAGGATTTCTGGGACTTGAAGTCCAATAACACCTGGAGGCCCAAGGTTGGAGACCACTGCTGCAAAGGGCAGAGAGGGAGAATGTTTACTCATTATAAAACGAGGAGGAGAAAAGCCTCAAGAGCAGAAAATGGATACAATAACAAAATTAAATTGCTCCTACATTTATGTATCAGACTTATGAAACGGATCACATTTTTGCCTCCAAGGAAATAACACATCGATTGGTTTGCAAACACTTCTGCCCCTCTCTTCAATAGTAAAAGGATCAAGTAGACAAATTAAGGGAAAATATTAAATGCACCGTTTCAAGAACAGCGAGGGGAATTCAATCTTGCACAGCATGGCTGAAGCACAGCCAGAGAGGCACAGAAATCTCCGCAGCCGCGGCTGCAACGTAGACCTGTGGAATCTGGGGCTGTTGTTCCTGTCATTATTGTTGTTGCTGTGGCTGATTAATTTATATTGATAATTATGAAGCATAATTTGAGAACATGATTGCAGCTAATATGGTAGCACTGCATTTTGCTTTTCCGCAAGAAAAGCAAAATTTTCCTGGAACAGCTGTGGCATGTTTGTATTCCTGCCAAAGGATGTGCCTGGCTACACACGCACCAAGTGCAAGTTGGTGGCCCACTTGGAAGATAAGGTCCGGCAGCTGGAGGTCCATGTTTCTAATCTTTGGATCACTAGGGAGCATGAGGATTTCTCGGATGGGGCAGTGAAGACCATCTTCAATACAGGAACACATGGAAAACATCATTGAAGAGGAAGGCAGCTCACAAATACAGGAGGCAGACACATGAAGGAATGCCTTACAGTTTGGAGCCACAGAATACAGTGATGCCACGCTTAACGATGTTAATTCATTCCAGCGAAATCGCCAGTCTCTGTGGCCAGCATATTCAGAGCACAGGTTGCTGTCCTCTGAAGATGCCGACCACAGAGACTGGCGAAACATCAGGAAGAACAACTTTCAGAACACAGCCAAAGAGCCCAAAAAACCCAGAACAACCACCAGACGGTTTTCTTTCTGGGTCCTTTGGAGGCCTGCGCTTCCCTTCATGTATGGTGGTCCCCTTCACAGCTTGTTCAGCAAATGAGTGCCCTCATTCTTGGCTGCTATTTATGATACATTAAAATGTGCCTTTACCACATTTTGATGGCATGGGTTGTTTCCTTTGCAAGCATTGCGGCTGGTTGGTCTCAGACTATCTGTGGGAAAGACACCCTACATACAGCACAAGTGAATATGAGAGTTTAACAAGGAAGGGATGTAAAAATGATTTGTGGCCTTATGAGGCATGCCTGCTGAGGAAACTAAGCAGGTTGAGCCCTGCAAGCTGCCTCGAAGGAAGACCATGTAGAAGGGATGACCAAGACTTTAGGCATGCTGGAGAAAAGGCTTGAATATGACAAGTGAGATTATTGCCCACTGAATTGTCCATTGATTCCCTGACTATAGAATTAGGACTCCATAAAGCTACAGGTGCTTTGAATTGTGGTGCTAGAGGAGACTCTTTGAGAGCCCCCTGGACTGCAAAAAGAACAAACCTATGAATTCTGAAGGAAATCAACCCTGAGTGCTCACTGGAAGGACAGATCCTGATGCTGAAGCTCCAATATTTTGGCCCTCTCATGAGAAGAGAAGACTCCCTGGAAAAGACCCTGATGTTGGGACAGTGTGATGGCAAGAGGAGAAGGGGACGACAGAGGACGAGATGGTTGGACAGGGTCACCGAAGTGACCAACGTGAATTTGACTCAACTTCGGAAGGCAGTGGAAGACAGGAAGGCCTGGCGTGCTCTGATCCATGGGGTCACGAAGAGTTGGATATGACATAATGACTAAGCAACAACAACAACATAGCTACAGGTAAATTAACTGATTTATCATAATATTGGGATTGGCATTGTGCAGCTTGCCAAATTCCTTTTGTGGCTCCCAGGTTCATCCGAGCCCTCTTATTATAGGAACTTTTATAAAGCGACAGGCGCAGTTCCTGGAGGGGGAAGGATGAGTAGATCCAGTTCCCTGACCCCCTGACGTTCCCCGCCTTAGTATAACATGACTATATACAATTCCTTTGAGGGGCTCATAATTCAGACTTGTATCAAGGTTTCCTCTAGGCTGTGGGGAGTCCAGGTTGAGCCTAAGAGCCGCTGCAGTAGTAAATAACTTTTCTCAAATATAACACACTTCAAACCTGCGTATCTCCACGTTCATGTCACAAGGGCTTGTGAAACCTGCCTGTGTTTCAAAAGAGGCACGGAGGACCCAAATCTGAACAACATATGAACCTACCCGGCAGTTAAGATCTGCAACAGAAATGAATAGATCACTTGAATCTACTCATGAATCATTGGTGTTCTGATCAGGAGTGGTGCCCAGTACCACCTTTCTTGGGTCAGAGGTATTTTTCCCTCCTTGCACCAGACAGGCTATTCCTATGTGTGCAGAAGCAAGAATGCAATTCTTGGCATCTAGACTCATATGTGATTCTCACTGCAGTAGTTTTCTGGAAGAGGAGCCGGGAACAACACTGATAAATCGTAATAAATAAAAATATGAATTGGCAAGAACTGGAAGACCTTACTTACACCTGCATTTATCTATTTGTCTGTCTTTTTCTTTCTGCCCGTCTGTATACCTAATCTTGTACTCTGTGCATGTTAACTGCAGCAGTGGCGGTTGCCGGCTCTCTAAGCCTACATTAACAATGCGGGGGGTTGCATGCAAAGACCTACCTCATTAATGAAGTCCCCAATATCCCCAGGATGGGGGATTACAGGCCTTACAGGATACTGGGGCTCAGCCCCAACGGGCCTCTCATCAACTCGCCGGACTCCATTTGCTTTGTTCAAAACATGATCCATATTCTCTGGTTGCTGAAGTTGGCTTAAATCATAATCCTGTAACAAAGGGAGAAGTGGCGAGTGAGGCGCAGGCATCTTTTCCCTGAAAAATCCTCCAGCAAATCTATTCTCTCAGGGCTGATAAAATATCCTACCTGGCTCCAATTCAACTGGACTTGAAGCAGAACCACTGCACTATGTGGCACCAATGCCTACATGTGATTAAAGACAACCTGGTGTGGCTCATTTGGTAGACGGAGCTGAGGAGCACTATAAGGCACCCACAGCAGCACGGAGGATCCTGCGTGGCTCTTTCCTAAAACGTTATGCTGTTCACATTGGGACACCTCAGAGTTTACAAGGGGTAGAAGTGGCATGCACTTCCAGCACTGCCCTACATGCTGCAGAGGAGAGAAAAGCTCCCAAAATTTGATCCACAATAGCTTTCAAATAGCCACACTAAGTTTCCTGATGCCAGTTCAAGAGAAATTAAGTCTCAATTGCTGTGCTAGGAAGTGCTAGACCACAATTTCCAGCCCTAGATGAAGGCATCATAGCACATGTGTCACTGTAACATCATAGATTCCAGGAACCTTGGTCAGATACCTTCCTGGTACAAAGAGATCCTCCCAGCTACCTCCTGTGCCTTGGTGAGGCAAGTCTCCCTATTTATGCAACGTACATTTTAATGACCCAACTCCGGGAGGCAGTGGAAGACAGGAGGGCCTGGCATGTTCTGGTCCATGGGGTCACGAAGAGTCAGACACGTCTTAACAACGAAACAACAACAACAACATTTTAATGCTGCTGGAGGTTGTGAGGGTGTTGCTACTGGCATCCCTGGCAGGCTGCTCTCATCCTGTGCCTCCTGAAGGGGCTGTCAGATACAGCACCCACTGGTCCTCAGGTGGGTGCAGACAAAGGTTGTTTGGCTCAGAATAGGAAGGAGAAGAGAAAGGATAGGACCCACCTGTGTGAGGCAGCAGGTGTTGGACTGAGTGGGGAAGAAGAGATGGAAGTTGCTAAAGGAGGAGCTGAATAGGGAGAGGAGGTGAAGGAGATGGAGGGAGACACCAGGAGTAAGAGCCCACAGAGCTGGATCCAGTCCTGTGCACTGATGGGTGGAGGGGTGGACTACACTTACTTTGATGACTCCTGGATGGGTGTCCTAGTTCAGGTGCACAGGAAAAGGGTCATGGAAGGGGCACTCTTGACCGTCTCTATACCCCACTGGCCACTGGAGGCCTCGGCACTTGGCAGGGCACCTGGCTCCCAACCCAACCCCAAACCAAAGCAAAAGCAAAGCGTGCTGCTTATATACCACCCCATAGTGCTACAAGCACTCTCTGGGCAGTTTACAAGTTGATTATGCAGGCTACACATTGCCTCCCCCCAGCAAGTTGGGAACTCATTTTACTGACCTCGGAAAGATAGAAGGCTGAGTCAACCTTGAGCCGGCTACCTGGGATTGAAACCCAGGTTGTGAGCACAGTTTTGGCTGCAGGACAGCGGTTAACCACTGTGCAACAAGGCTCATAAGAGGCACTGGACATACAAGAGCTAGAAAGAGCGGGCAGTGGCACCTCCAGGAGGAGTTGGAGGGCTCTGGAAGTGCCCTGGAAGTAGGCAATGCAAGCCATCCTAGAGGGTCTTGGCTGGGTGGGACAGATGTTGAAGCCATGCTGGTAACAATCTAATGAGATCGCAGCCCCAGTGAAGGCAACTTGGGGTCTGGGGAGGGCTGAACAATCCAGGAGGCTAGTACTGACAACTCAGCCCTCCCGTGAGAGTTATGGGTCAAGAAGCATTTTTTAATGCTTCTTCTTCTTCTTTTTACATCCTGCTCACCCAGCCTCAAACCAAGCTTGGACAATTCTGTGAGGTTTGAGTTCATGGGGACCATTTCAGAGGAAGTCTTGTCCACTACTGCAGTACTTGGTGGTGGCAGCAATGCTCATAAAGCTATGGAGACCCTTCAGGAGATCTAACTTCAATCTGCGCTCTTTCCGAATTGGACATGTAGAGTTTGGAATGCATTAGAGTTTAGCACCAATTAATTTACAAGAATTTGAAATATAATACAATATCCACCTGACGGAAGTATCAGAACAGTGCCCGAGGACAAGATATTCTGCTGCCTGAGACAAAGGTCAATGATGGAAGCCTCTGCAGACCATTAACTATATAGACGATGTTTGGGGCTGGGAGTTGGAACCTTGCTTCAGAAATGACAATAGGCCAGTATCCTCAACTAAAAGCTGATTAATGCAATAAGGGGTAGGCTACATGACACACACAATGCTGTCCCCCAACATTACTCCTGCTCTGCACTCCAACTTTCTCTGCATAATGGCAGAGCTGGCTTTGATTGCACCGTGTCCAGTTCAACCATTGTGACAGATGTTCAAGTGGAACATATAAATAATATTAAGGAGCAGAGCTTTTGGACTTTTTGGCGTTCACATGAGGAGGAGTCTATCATATAGCACTCAAAAGGAGGATAGGCATTACTAAAGGGTGACTGATTGGCGGAACATTGCACAGGCTAATTTATGTGTACAGATGCAGAATTAGAAAGGAGTTTTACACAACGTCCGTGTGTCTCACACATGTGGGGGAGGCAGTGATGACATGATTTGTGTACCTGCTGAGCTTGCTGTCTAGCTACTAACTGTGGCCTGGCAGTTCTAAGATTCCCTTGTCTCCTTCTTTATTGTTCTTTATCCATACATCAGCCCAAAGAGGCAACAACATCAGAGAGAATCTGTGACGAATCTAGTACATGAGTTGATAGTCTCCTCACCTGGTCTTCTTCTCCACCTCCTTCCTCGTCGTACTTCAGAATGTTATCCCGGACGTCGTCTTCTGGATCAATGAGAAGCTGCTTTGTGTGCCGCTCCTTTTCTCTGCGCTTCATCCACACCACAAAGAGCAAAACCATACCTGTAAGGACAAACAAGGAAGAAAATAGCTGAAAGGGATGACCTGCTGTCTCTCATTGAGTCCCGCAACCCCATCCAAAGAGAGAACATTAAAAGTGTCCTATCTTTTTCTCCACAACTGATGGATTATAGCTGTTCCTTAAACGCTGGGACTTGAGCTCCAAAACTGAGAATAAATGGAGGACATAAACACTACCTCTTGTGCTATTAACCATCACTTTTATTACGCCCAAGTTAAAAGTTGACAACACTGTAAATAGCTCCAGAATTTGATTCCTCACTGCCATCAAGGCACATATTTCAGCTAAACAAGACGGAAATAATTTAAACACCTCTGAATTTTCAACACATCACAAAATACAGAAAAGGGAAAAATTACTTCCCTGTCACGAGAAGAGCAGTAGTATATATGTCCTGGAAAAAGCTTAGCTAGTACCTGATTGATTTTTGTAGTGGTATTTGAAACATCCCTCCATATCCAAACATTTTGGACTACAATTCCCATCAGCTTGCATTAACATAACCCATGATCTGGGACATCTGAAAGGCACCAAGTTTCCTACTCTTTTGTTATGGCATAAATGTTGATAGACAATTCAACAGGCAGTAAGTAAACAAACACTGGCTGAAATCCTGTTGCTTAACACAGTAAGTAAAACTAGAATAGTCCCATAAATCAATGAGGATTTGGTGAGTCAACTTCTCTGTAAGTTCCATTGACTCAAATGGGCCTAGTCCAGTGCAAATTACTACTCAAAGCAACAGGATTTCCAGGGCAAATTACTACTCAAAGCAACAGGATTTCAGCCATTATAGTAAACCAGAGAGGTCCAATGAAAGACACAGGAATACTTGAATTAATAGGAATGCCAAGGAATCAGAGTCCCAGGAGCTGGAATGATGCCTAAAGAGTTGCTGAAAATTGTCTTAGCCAACACATCCACCCAATTTGCTTCCTTCTTGCCAGAAGTTTTATCTAGCATTTTGCTCACACCAACTTGATCTACCTTACTGTAGGGCAGGACCTTATTGACAATGGAATGCAAACTAAGAGCCTGTCCAGACCGTATGTTTTGTGAAGGGGGTGGATCAGGCTACAAAGAGTTCATTGAGGTCTGGGGGAGGGACAATGTGGTATTTGACACACTCCGCCCATCTGAACAGCAAACAACCCTTCTGCAGCCGGATCAGCTGTCAATTAAGCACTTCCCAGCTGATCACGTGGCCACTCTCTGCTTCCCAGCCAATTGACAAGACCTTGTCCGTGATCACGTGGCCACTCTCCGCTTCCCAGCCAATTGACAAGACCTTGTCCAACTGATGTTGGAAAGGCTCCCTGCTTCTTTGCTGCTCCTCTTCACTTCCTAGCTGATCATAGAGCCACTGTCTACTCAACAGCTGTCCGGTTTACTACTGGGACAGTAAACTGTAGTTTTCAGTAAAACAAAATGATGCTCAGTTGCTTTTTGTAGTTCAATAACCACATTTTTAGCTTGAGTAATGAGATCTTATTGATTAATCACACCATTTGATTAAGTAACTGTGTTAGATATTATCTGTCCTCATGTGGGTGTGGGAATATGTTTGCTATGCTTGCTGCTGTCTTTAGTAAAACTGTGTATCAGTTATGTAGCACACACAGACATGCAAGCTTTTTGCTTCCTTATCTGGAAGGGTATATCACGCATGCGCCTCACAGATGGTATGTTAACGAGCATAGTTAATTGCTGGAGAACTGCTGTAGTATCTTAGATAATAAAGTGAGGCACTGGAAGGGTTGGTCAGACTGCAGCAGACTCTGGAGAAGAGAAGAGTCCACTGAGCTGTTTTTCCTCAACCTGCATTGCCTCTTAAAACTCATGCATTAGTCCTGGTGTTTTTACTCTTTCATCGACCTATATGGCATCTGGACTGCTATACAGTATGTGGGAAAAGTAACACAGGAGTTACTCTACGGCTCAAAAAAGTCCCTTCCCCACCCCCTGTCTCCTAGGTGTGAGCATAACTTGCCACTACAGACCATACATCTGCCACCAGAGGGGACAGGGAGAAACAGAGCCCTCCATGTCCACATCTAACATCACATGGGTCCATTTATTTTAAAGCAGAATGGAGGACCAGCAGCTTGTTGGACCTTTCCATCTGGTCAGCAATCTCTTGTTCCTGCAACCTACACTCACTATTGGGTTTGAAAAATGCCTTCAACTGGTACAAAAAAACCCTTCAATTGGCCCAACTGCAGGGCTTTCCCAGCCAAAACAGCAACACCAAGAGAGATGCTTTCTCCACAAGGGTCACCAGGAGGGTTCCTGAAGTTGCTGTCCTGCAACAACAACAGCAGCAACAACAACAACAAAAAAGTAACTTGTTCAAACTCTGAATAATGTTTTACTCAGCCCTTTGCAAATGAGCAATCTGATGAAACAGAGGTCCCTGAAAGTTGCTTTTAGCTGTTATTGCTAACTGCCACCAACAGATGTTTCCTTTGCAGTTTTTTCTCTAGTCTTTCTTTTCGAATAGCCTAACTATTCCTATGTGTATTTCAAAAGGGAGAGAAAACCAAGGCCTGCAGGAACTTCTTGTTTTTTTTTAAATTAAACAATCCAGATGCAACAAACTGAAGCTGGGATGCCCAGATTTATTCTCCATCAGAAAATGACACTTCATGGAGCATTTCTCACTAAAGACCTTGCAAAAAGTGATGCATAGACAGGTCAATGCCATATGATGCTAGGTGAGGTAAACAACCTTCCACCTGTCCCGCACCTTTGATAAATTCCATGGACCCTCTCGTGGTTCCAAGGAGCCCTTGACTACTTCGTACAACTTTCTAAGGCTTCTGAGTTTGGGGCCGAACTCAGAAAAAGCTCCTTTTTGGACTATGCCCCTCAGAATCCTCCAGCTAGCATAGAGTCAGGGATGATGGGATAAAGCAGCATTGCTCAGGCTTTGACTCTGAGAAACAAGAGTAGCTGGAAGCAGCAGAACGTCAGTCTGCACCTCAATTTGAGAAACTAGTTGCTCTGAGGAAGGATTGTGCCCACTTTAATCTAGGGCTGTGCTAACTGGAGGAGGGCTTTTCATCTGTCTTTGAGCACCCACACTTGGAATATTCCATCTGTCTCTAGGAGAGCATCATTTCCCAGATGGTCTATCAGTGTTGGAAACACATGCTCTGTGAAACGGCCCAGGGGGATTTCCTGGCTGTAGTGGATTCTGCAACCAGGTCTCTTAATCTAACACTGGATTACACTGCCTCTCGGTGTGAGCAAACACTTCCTCCAAAGAAATGCAGCCGCTGTTTCTGAAAATAATTGCTTTGAATCTCAAAAGCATTCAAAAAGCCACATCGACATGTTCAAACCAGCCACAGGGCTAGTTATTTCGATGGTGCTTCTTCTGCACGCGTGTGTGTACACACACACACACACACACACACACACACACACACACACACACACACACACACACACACACCACCCCACTTGCTGGGTAGAATAAATCCTTTTGAATTGCCAAGATGTTGCAGCTGGGCTAATTTCATTTTAATGATGTGCGATTCTCTCAGAAGAAATGCAACAGAGGCAGGATAAAACATTAGCTCATATAATCCAATTTGGACTTATTCTCCTCCCTTTTATGGGCTTCCTATATTTGCAAAATCACATTAACAAATGCTCCGAGATACTCTTTCAGCTGCTTTACTTGGAAAGGAGATCTGAGCATCTTTGAATTCTTTACTGAAAGTGCTCTTCCGTTTTCACTGAGCAAAGGAAAGGAAGTGTAGATCTGGTTTGGCTGAGATAGATAATGCTCATTTTGCTTGAAGAAGATTTTAGTGAAATTAAACAAATAATACTCTTCCCCCACCAGAGCAAGCTGCCCTACCATTTCCTGTCACTCAGCAAGGATGTTAAAACCTCTCCTTCTTGATTCTGTTGCATTTCTCTGAACCTTGCCTGTATTTTCTGGACACCTTTGGGTTTGGGGTGTTTTTTTGATAAGTTGTCAGATGTGTCTCCTTTAGGCAGAACTTTTATGCAGATTTAAATTCCTTATTTCATTCTTTACAAATGAATTGAGAAAGATATTGTCCTGGTGCCAATACCAAGGGAAGATTCATTTGCCAGTCCAATCAGCTTTGAGTGGTTGCCATCTTGTCCTCTGTTCCAGGCAGCAAAATATTTTAGGATTATTTAGAGATATCGAAGTTTGAACCTTTTGCATGCCAAGTATGCGTAACACCAGAGTACAATGATCTTTCCAACCAAAAGAACAACAAATCTACTGAAACAGTAGTTTTTTGAGATTACCCATGGTGGCATGCCCAGCTTTGATGAAGCATAATGTTTGAAAGGGTTTTTACAAAATGGATTTTGAAATTTCATGGAGGGTAGCTGCGACAGACGCTGTAGCCAGATCATGCTTACATCCAACATGTAAATATAAAAAATAAGGTAACTGTGTTGATCTGTGAGAACAAAAGTCGAAATCCCAGAGATGGGCCATACTTCTCTTCTTGTTGTCATGTGTTATCAAGTCAGAACGAACTTATAGTGACCCTAATAGGGCTTTCAAGGTAGGGGAAGTATGTACGGAGTGGTTTTACCAGTTCCACACCCCCAGTGAGTTCTCATGGCACTGCCAGGGAATTGAAACCAGGTTTCCTCAGTTGTAGTCCAGTGAGCTATACACGATACCACACTGGGTATATCATAGCTACAATATCTCTCTTAAGGTAAAGGTTCCCCTTGACATTTCTTCCAGTCATGTCCGACTCTAGGGAGCGGTGCTCATCCCTGTTTCCAAGCCATAGAGCCAGCGTTTGTCTGTAGACAGTTTTCGTGGTCACGTGGCCAGCATGACTAGACTCGGAATGCCGTGACCTTCTCACCGAGGTGGTACCTATTTATCTACTCGCATTTTTACATGCTTCTGAACTGCTAGGTTGGCAGGAGCTGGGACAAGTGACGGGAGCTCACTCCGTTGCGTGGATTCAAT